GCGCGAGCTACTAGGTTGCCTCCTCGGGATTTCGCCTTCTGGGCGAAATCCTTGTGGGGGCAATAATAATATGCAGTTGCATACAATTATACCCGAATGCGTCGTTTTTTTTTTTTTGTTACATCCATTTTGAAATCAGTGGTGATCTCTGCAATCTGATTGGCTCTTAGCAGTACCATTTATTCACGAATCGCACTATTTTTTGCTTTAAGTCACATTTATTCTAAATCGCATCATTCATGTTCTAAATCCCATTACTTCCTTTCTATATCGCATCATTCCTGTTTTGAATACCAAATTGGATGTTAAAGCCTTTTGTTTCCACTTTTGAACAAACTGGACAGGGGCACCCAACGAGGATATAGTTCAAAACCACTTAACATAGCATTGTTGAACGTATTTTAGTATTTAAACGGTAGATATGGGCATTTTTTTATCCCCTAAAAACTTTTCATCTGTTCGGATTTCCTAGCTGAAAGTCTAGTGATCCGAAAATTATAGGGATCAAAACTTACCTTTTCGAAAATTTCAGCCAGGAAAAGGCTCCCGAAAATTCTAGGTGGCCTTTTTTAGGGTCAAAATCCGTTAAAAATGAGTAATTATACCATTTTGTAGATGTTCGAAAATCCTAGGAGAGGCAGGCAAGCAAGAAATTTTACAACAAATGTTCCGAAAATTCTAGTTCTCAAATCGTCTTCCGAACAGATATTTTCCCGAAAATTGCCGTTGGGTGCCCCTGACTGGATACTAGATCACTGACTGAATTCTGCGATTTCAAAATGGCTGTAATAAAGTGGTAATTGAACTTCGTGTCGTGCAATTTTGGTCTGAAATCATACTTGTGATTTCAAATCGAACTCGCGCTGCGCTCTCGTTCGAATTTGAAATCACGCATATGATTTCAGACGAAATTGCACTCCACTCAGTTCAATTACCATTATTAATCAGTCGCTAAAATTTCCTTATAGTGTTATATGAAAGCTCATGCATCAGAGGTCATCAAAGGGGTCTGTGGCAGCTGATCGAGTTAATCATTAGCTTATATCAGCTGTATATCAACTTTGTTTTGCTAATTCTCTACAGACATTTGCCTGACCACCCCATGCCAAAACGGTGGCACTTGTACCGCTGCCCTGAGTGGAGTGGACTACATCTGTGAATGCAAATCTGGATATCATGGTACCAACTGTGAACTTGGTAATGCCCCATTTAACACTGCTATACTTGTACATTACCTTTCGCGATCTTTATGGTTGCATGCAAGGTTGTTTGTTTGTATGCGCATAAAGCCGTGATATCCGGCTAGAGTAATAATACGTGGGTGAGTTATTAGCCTTCAACTAACTCCCAAACTTGTGGGAAGAAGTGGATTTAGAGATGAGACGAACGCATAGCCTCCAGAAAATACTTGTGCATGGCCAGCAATCGAGCAGCAACAAAAGTCAGTAGGAGGCGTGCACTTCCGAGCTACACTGACAGTATGGCCAGTCTCTTACGAGACAAGCAATCCTATCACCCCGGCAGTGGCAGCCGTGGGCGTCTGTGTCGCTCTCATGGTGAGTCCTAAGTAAAACAGCCGTCCATGTCTGCTACTTCCTCGGTGATATGGTTGTGCGCCTGCGTGAGGTACTTACCATACCACTGAGCTTCCTGCTAAACACTGGTACCGATAAACAACAAAGTTAGCGATTTTGTAAAGCTCGAAGTGTTCTTCCTGGGTTGCGAATAGAATGAATACCTTAAAATTAGGTTGGACACCTTATGTTTATTATACAATGCTATACTCTATACCAGGCTATACTATATTTATTTATTGAGCACATTTTTAAAAAAGTGGGGAAATCAGAGTTGAGATAGTTGTGCAAGGTAAAGAGTTGAATACAGGGAAGCACCGAAGTACACTGATTAGGGTTATAACAACGGTTAGCTTTCAACAATGTAATGAGGGTCCCCAATAGGGTTTTCAATCCCGTAATCCCGACTTAAAATTTCGTGCATTTCCGTAATCCCAAGGGTTATTTTTGGCGTCCTACCTCCCGCGCATACTTTCAATCCCGACACTCGCCTCGATTTTCGGCTTTCAAATCCCGAATCCCGAGCTTCAAATAAAGGAAATCCCGAATCCCGAAAAAACTATGGAGGGCCCTCTGTAATGATCAACGCCATGTAAAGAACGTTATAATTAATCGATGTTGCCTTATGGCAGTTATCCCTTAATGGTGTAGTGGATACAGATGCGGATTGTACATCAAATGACGCGGGTTAAATTAAGTCCTACATACTACCTACTGTTTTCTTCTGTTTTCTTTCTTATCTTATTTACTACTTTAAGTTATAAGACTGCTATCGTGTATTTTGAGTGAAGATGACAATTTGACTTTGGGGGCATGGGGTATCCATTCTAGTCACAACCTTCCTTTTCTGATTATTTGAGTCTTCTTGAATTATCGCATGATAAACGAACTCGTACCCAGTTCCCCTCGAATCAAATCTAGCAAAATGCTAAGATCCGCTTTTCGTACCAAAATCGCCTAAAAATACAGAATGTTATTAAGTACGAAAGGGCTCCTTCTTAACATTAGCCTGAGTACACTTTAACGTCGTTTGTATTTTTCTAGCATCAGGAAGATAAGCAATTTGCCTTTCAATACTGAGAAGTAATAAAGGTAAGGCTTTCAATTCCCACTGAATTTCTACTGATACTAATGTCGAAGTCATTAAATTGGAGTTACATGTAACTCGACTGTTTTCACGGCTTACAAGGAACTTATTAAACTGTGCGTAATATCTGCCCAAAAAAATAAATAATTTCATGTCAGTTTTATATTATTTTGGACAGTTGTTGTCTACTAGTACCCGTTACTCGTTAACATCCTAATATCATAATGATAATGATAATAATAATAATAATAATAATAATAATAATAAGTGATTTTGAAAAGCATTTAACTATAAAAAATTGCGATAAAACATTTCTTAAAATCATTTTAACATTAAAAAATTGCTAAAAAGCGACGACGTTTCGACGTTAGCTGAACGTCATTATCACGTCAAAATAAGTTAGTGATTTTTGGTCTATAAATACTAAAAAAACAACAATAGCTGATTAAAAAAATTGTAACGTGAGAAAATATTAAACAAAGAGTTTCGCACGTATGGAGTCCGTCTGAATATTTAAATTGGGCTTAAGCTTCTTAATGAAGAGCATCAAGAAGCTTAAGCCCAATTTTGGTACTTGAGTGGCTTGGACCGTGTTTTAGGTAATGTTAGAAAAAAACACTTACAACCGCGTTTTATTCTGGTTAAAAAATTCGAGTGTGAAGCGCGAGCATTTTTTCTAGTGCTGTGCTTCAAAAACGTCCCAAGAGTATTTCATCTCAATAGAACTTCAAAATCATGCGTTTCTCTTTTTAAAACGTGATGATGAAAATGTAAAAAAAGAGCAGCCAAAATAATACTCAATTGTTGATCCTCTATAGTTCTGCAAATATATTGTGCAACTGAGGAAAACGAAAAAAACGACAATTGTCCGGTTTTCAAATCTCTTCATAAAAATTTCTTTAACATATCGCAAGACACGCTTCGTGGAACCCTACTGGCAGTGATATCGGCTGATGACAAAGACAGTGGGCGCAAGGTTTGGCATTTCAACTGCAAGTGACTTTAATGCAGCTTTGAAATCGGTAAAGAGCATGGACAGATAACTGTTGTGAAGTGTCATTCCATATTTTGTAAATTGCATGCGAACTCTCCTGGAGTTGAATTCCTAAGAGTAATATTCAAGTTTAGAAAGAGAAAGAAAACAAAACTTATATTGTATTATTGTTCATTTAAAATATTTCTCCGTTTCTGATTGGCTGAAAGCACACGCACAATTCACCATAATCAGCTACTGTTGGCCAAATTTGGAAGCACTTTGCGATTAATCAACCCGCCTAGATTAATTAGCTGGCGCTTGCCTCATTTAGACTTCTAGTGTGCGTGCGTGCGTGCGTGTGTTTTATCATCATCATCATCATCATCATCATCATCATCATCATCATCGTCATCATCATCATCGTCATCATCAGCATCATCGATATTATCACTCTTATTATTTGTTTTCTTGTTTGTTTCCTCTCTTCATGATTAATTATTTGCATTCACCTGAAACGTGTTTTAGCAGTGATGGTAAAATCCTCCTTTTAGGCCATATCTAGGTGAAGTTTACCAACAAATTTATGATGATGGAAAGACATTTGATTGTCATCATTCAAATGCAAATTTCATGTATATTTTTTCGGCTGCTTTAACCGTAAGGAAATCATTTGTAATAGTTCGTATTTATTATGGCCCTTCAATTTAGCCTAGACCGTCTACTTTGAAAAGAAGAGGGTAACACTGTAATAGGCCACTTCGGACTTAATTCAAGCCTCTGTTTCAAGGCGGGGCTAAGCGCAAAGCAATTGGTATGTAAACGATTTTTTGTACTCATGCAAATAAAACTAATTTTCACAAGAAAGTTTTTTCCGTTCAATTTTATATTATATGTAATACTTATGAAAGACTGTGAAATTTTGTGAAAACAATGCTAAAAAAATGGCAACTGTTGACAAACAATACTATGGTAATGTGTTGTGAAAAAAAAATGGCTAGAACTTGGTCGTCAATGACAAGGCAATTTTTTGATGCTAATGATGTTCATCAACTTCTCAAGAGAAAGGTAGTAGTGTTTTATTATTATTATTAAGGTATAATTTTTGTCTTTAGTGCAATAGAGTCATGACGGACGGACGTGTATTTGTGAGCTCTCTACAAGTTTAACTGCAAGAAAACTCTTCTTCTCTTCACTTTAGCACTCTACCTTTTTTAAACTACACTAAAAGTATAATTTTCATTATGACTAAGGCAAAAGGGAAAAACGCGGCTTCTAGAGGCTCTGGAGAAGCAGAGAAAGTGAATAATTCATCAAGCTTGCAGGACGCCGAAGGTGACGAAGAGTACATGTCCTGCTTAAACAGATGCTTTCTGTCCAGGAATCGATGCTCAAGTCACTTTTCCATTCAGTGATTTCTTCCGTGACGACTCGTGTTGACGATCAATTGAAGACGGTAACTGAATTTAAAAAAAAGTCTCGAGTTTACTCAGAGGAATCTCGAAAATCTCGATACAGTGGCGACTAAACTCGAAGACGCTGAGGGTGAAATTGGCTCCCATCAAAAGAATCTTGATGAACAAAGTTCTAAGATGGAATATCTTGAAAACCAGAGCAGGAGGAACAATAGTAGTCTAGAGTTTCAGGAATAGCGGAATCTGTTGATGAAACGTGGGAGATTGTTGAAGAGAAAGTCAAGAAAGCAATCATGGAGAAGCTTGATATGGAAGTCGATATTGAGCGAGAACATAGAGTGGAAAGGAAAAAGAAACCAGAGGCAGCTAAAAAATCGGGACAGCCCAGGACCATTGTCTGTCGCCTGAAGAACTGGAAACAGAAGGAAGCGGTGGTTAGAAAGGCCATGAAGGAGAAACCCGTGGGCTTATTCATTTGTGAAGATCTATCCGTCGCCACATTGGAGAAACGAGCTAATCAAGTCGAAAAGCTAAAAGCAGCTAAGAAGGCAGGGAAAACTGCTTACTTTATTCTAGATAGCTTAATAATTCGCGACAAGCCTCAGGTATCTCATGATCAGGGATAAGATAAGTAAACCTTATTTGCTTTCGAGTCATGTTTACGTGAATTGCCGTTTTTCCATTTAAATGATGAAAATTTTACATTAGCTGTATTTGAACAACTTAATGCGTGGGTTAACTATCATGATGATGTCGATAGATTGTCTTGCCTGAAGCTGAATCCTTTATTATCTGAAATACATACAAACTTGAGTCTTTGCAAAGATACAGACCTAGACTCTAAAATGTTTTCCGAACTAGGCAACTGTGAGTATTATGTTGAAGAACAATTTAATGATCTCTTACAAAAACAAAAGATTGATGACAACCGTTCTTCATTTATGCATGTAAATGCGCGAAGTCTTCAATGTAATCTAAGTGGACTAACGAATCTATCAGCCAATCTTAACTAAAGATTTTCCTTTCTCGGAACCACCGAGACTTGGCTTCAAGATTCATCACATCATTCCAATATTCCTGATTATAGATTTACCAATAAACATCACACTAACACGTCTGGCGGAGGTGTTGGTCTCTATTTAGCCGATAGCCTCGAATTTAAATGGCGTTCAGATATTTCTTTCTCCAGTGATGAGACCGCAGAGTCATTATTTGTGGAAGTGATAGGCCAAAAGAAAGAAACTTATTTGTAGGTGTTATTTATGGGCCGCCCAAAAAAAGTTTACAAGAATTCATTAATGATCTTGATTTACTTATCACTCGAATTTCTAAAGAGGATATAAAGTGCTATATTATGGCCGATTGGAATATAGACTTAATGACGCATCAGTCTCATGACAAAACAGGTGAATTTCATGCGTAATGTTCTCCGGATCGTTTTTCCCATTGATTTCACGGCCAACAAGAATAACCTCCAATCCAGCCACGCTAATTGATAATCAGTCTTCACAAACGAACCAAGCAATTGTTCTCCTAGTGGTTTGCTGTTTACTGAAATTCGTGACCATCTTCCTATTTTCACAATATTATCTGATAATTGTAAGAATACAAGTAAAAATATTTATGTCACCTTCCGTGATAAAAATGCAAATAATATGGCTGCATTTTTAAGCCGAGCTTCAAACTGCTAATAGGGATGACGTGGCTGGACACAGTGTCCCAGATTCCGCTTATGAAAGTTTTTGGAGCAAATAATATTATTGCTTCTTATAATAAGTGCTTCCCTCTGAAAAAGGTAAAGGCAAGAAATGGTTATTTCAGCAAGCCTTGGTTGTCCAAGGGTCTTCTCAAATCCATAAAAAGGAAAAATATTTTATATAAGCGCTATCTCTGTAATCCCTCTTCTGACCGCGCAAATCAATACAAAAAATATAGAAATAAATTAAATTGTTCTTTACGTGCCACTAAACGTATATGTTTTGCGAAGAAATTAGAGGAATGTAAATCAAATATGAAATCAACTTGGATTGTACTTAATGAATTAATTAATAACAAAAAAGCAAGAGTAATTTACAAACGACGTTTAGTGTCGATGACAAGGAAATATCCGATCCAACTCAGATCGCGGACCATTTCTGTATGTGCATACTTCACGAATATAAGATCAAATTTAGCGAACTCAATTCCACCTTGTCTCACTTCTCACCTTTCTTTTCCTTCTGGAGGTTTTGTGAATTCGTTGTGCCTAAACCAAGTACTGAGCAGGAAATTGTTGAAATTTGGACTAGTTTTCGTGCAGGAACTGCTGCAGGTTATGACCAAATTGCCATGAACGTAATCAAAGAAATCATAGATTTAATCGTCAGCCATTGACATACATAACGAATTTTTCTTTTAGTTCTGGTACCGTTCCCGATCAAATGAAGATAGCCCGATTTGTTCCTTTATTTAAAACAGGTGATCTCTCTCTGTTTACCAGTTATAGACCATTTTCCGTTTTGCCAGCTTTATCTAAGATTCTCGAAAGGACTGTTTATAAACGTTTGATCAATTTCTTGAATAAATTTAACATCCTTTCTAATAATCAATATGGTTTTAGGAAAAATGGCTCTACCACCTATGCGTTAATTCAATTATATGATAAACGTTCAGATGCGATTGATCAAGGAAAAGTTACTTTGGGTCTATTTATTGACCTATCGAAGGCCTTCCACACTGTGAACCATGATATCCTAGTTGCTAAACTTGAGTTTCTATTAACATAAAAATTTCAAATTTTTATTCTATTTAAAACAAAACAAAATAAGCAAAAACTTGACTTACATTTTTCAATTAATGATATTGAAATTGATCGTGTAACTGAAGTTCTGTTCTTGGGAGTTATACTAGGTAAACACTTATCTTGGAAATCTCAAACACACAACGTGGCAAGAAAATTCTCAAAATCAGTAGGCATTATCATGATTTACAAATCAAGTTTCTGCCTTAATAAGACCTCTTTATGTCCTCTCTCTTATAGTTTAGTTTATCCTTATTTACATTACTGTGCGAGTGTTTGGGGCTCAACTTATCAGTCAAATCTTAAGCGTTTGATTAATCTTCAGAATCGGGTTATTAGAATAGTTTCCAGGAGTTCTTTTGATGCACATGCCAATGCTATTTCTGTAAGCTTACGAATCCTAAAATTTGAAGATATTATCACACTCCAAATACGTAAAGTTATGTAACTTTATAAAAACGGCCTTCTTCCTAACAGTTTCAACGACATGTTTTTGTTTAACTGTGACGTACATTCATACAACACTAGAAGTAAGAATTCCTTCCGTTTGCCCTTCTGCAAGACAAATGTAAGGAAATTTCACTTCGTTTTCAAGGGCCCAAAATATTTAATTCCCGTAGCTCTGAAATTCAGAATGCCTCTAGTACTGCTTTGTTCAATCCTAAACTTAAGTCATTTTTCCTTGATATAAGCACACTTAAGCTCTCCTAATGCTTGTGGGTAGTTTCTCGCTTCTTTCCCTTTTTGTCTCGTTTATTTTTGTATTATTTTTTCTCATCTTTTCTTTCTCGTCTTTGCACTTACACATTCAGTCTTTTCTATTTTTATCCTATTTAATGATTTTTTTTCTATGTTCCAAATAAATTGTGCGTACTTAGAGTTAAATTGCCGATGTCAGTATTGTAATTATTAATTAGATGACATAATTTTAAAAGATGGTCCTATACACAAGCCTTATTGGCTTCCTTGGGCTCCCTTGTCTCATCTTTTTTTAAATTTTATATGTATATTTAGTGTTTATGGCAAAATAACAGTAAAACAATAGAGTCCTGCTCACATTGAGTGCCTTATGAAACAGAATACTTCTTAAAGAGATTTGCAGTAATTTGTGCAACGTCCTAATAATATTAATTTATACGGTGTATCATCGTTGTACGGAAAAACACCAACACTGTTTAAAGGGACTATGTCAAACCGCGCATGCGCACTCTCTAACGTTTGCCTTCAGAAACTATAGAATTATAATTGATAAATAACTACACTACACAGGTTCGCCTTGTGACACCCCCTTTACAACAAGGTTTCTTGCCGATACATTGACTAGCGTTATCAAAACGAAAGCTACATGCCCAACTTTCTTGACTAGATGCTTCGCTAGTACAGGGTATTTACAGTTCAAACAGGCTAAAGTAAGCTAATAATTTCGTAATTTACCATGATTGATTGTGCGTGGTTTAGAGGGACATTTTTCATAAGCGATACGTGCGCAGCTCCAAGTTGGCTTCATTGTTAACGTGGGAATTTTGCCACTCGGCATTGATATTTCTGATAATTGCTGATAAGCTGATTATCTCTTAATTTACTATGAATGATTGTGCTTGGTTTAGAGGGACATTTTTCATAAGCGATACTTGCGCAGCTGTTTGGCTTCATTGTTAACGCGGGAATTTTGCCACTCGGCATTTATGTTTCTGGTACTCAACGTAATTTAATATTCACAACCAAACTACTCCCTGTCACCAAAATACATCTGCACCAATTTATTTCTTCATTGCTCTATCAATTTCTTCATTTCTCTATCAAGTCAGTCTAAAGAGAGTCTTTACATTACAATTTCTAGTCAGTTGGTCAAGCCCAGTTTAGTGGAAAGCATTTGGGTAATTAACGCACGGTTCGGGTAAGCATCAAACACAAATTATGCGATATATACCCAGCTGTCTTAAATGTGTAATCATGGGATGTTACGACTCTTCTTTCTCATCAATTAGATAGCGCAAAAAAAGACAGTCAAATTAATCGTTTATAGAAAACTCAAGCATCATTGTTAAGTCGATGACTACCGAAGTCGAAAACAACTATTTGGATGTTGCTACGAATCGGTAAAGGGTTTGCTCTCTGAAAAATAGCGTAAGGGATCTTTGTCTTAATAGGCGTAGAATAATGGATTGCGACTTGGCCAATCAGATGCGCGCATTTGAAGTCGGGCGCATTTACTGACTGAAAACACTGTGTACCTTGCATGATTGGTACGATCGATTTCAGGGGTTACTTGACTTTTGTTCCCCGACAAAACCAATCACAACTAAAATCTTCTGACTACGTGCAGAAGTAAATCTGTTGTAACGTGGCTGCTAACTTTTCCTCCGTTTAGGATTTTTGGTGTAAGGTGTGGCCAACTAACCTCAAATCAAAGGTAAAGGATTTTCCTTTTCGTTAAATTTAAAGTTTTCTTAACGTCGGCAAAAAAGGCACAAATCTTAGGAAGTTTGACTACGCCTTGTATTCGGGCAAAACTCGCACTCAAGTCCTCTAAAAGGTACTGTTATGTGCTGGTTTGAAAACCTTAAAAAACAAGACACAACTCGTAGTATTTGTAAAGAAATAAAGAAAAACATTGGCAACTGAAATTACGTTTTTCTTTAATGCTCAAGGAGTTTTCATCAAGGAATGATGAAGTTCAAATATGAAACTAGGAAATATTTTTTATTAATTGTTTTTGTGTGTTTAATATTGACCAATGCCAGCCTTAACCTGATTCACACCCACGAGCAAATAGTGGTAAATGAAAACTTTGAACAGTCGTAGAGACGAATAGTGGAAAAAGCGCTTATCTTCACATTCAGTGGGCCTTGCTGTCACCGCTGCACGACATTTTCGTATCGCAATTAATTGACAACCGCTTCAACTGAACACAGCCACAAGTTTTGTTTATTTTGTTCCCTTTATTTTAGTATGGCACTTCAATCCTTTTTGTTGAGTCTGCTTGTCCTGAATATGTGCTGGAGATAGGAATCAGCTTGTAGGATGGCCGACTGGTGGGCAGCGTTTGACCGCAAAGGATGGGCTACCTGTGACTCTTCAACTCAGTATATCAAAGGGCTGTGGAGAAACCATAATGGAGGCCCCAAGGAAAAGATCTACTTACTAGAACAGGCAAAGTGCTGTTCAGCTCCCACGCCATATGCGAACGTCCCGTCAACTTGTAAAATTGCCAACTGGTGGGGCGTTCTGGACGGGTGAGTATGTATTGCTTTTCACATTACGTCATCAAAATTCAAACTGAATAATTGTCGATACTCCTGAGGTTCACTTTCATGAAGCACTAGAGCAGCAAAGAACTAATATTTCTACAAATTTTCACTTCGATCGCGGCAAGATTAGCTCAGTCGGGAGCGCGTTTGACTACAGAGCGGAAGGTCGCCAGGTCCGATTCCCGGGGCTGGACCAATACTCTAGGTCTTAAAATAACCGAGAAATGAAGGTACTACCTTTGCACTACAAGCGGCGAGACCTTCGCGTGGCTCGGATGACCACGTAAAATGGCAGTCCCGTCTCCAGTTGGAAACGTAAAAATAGTGTCCCCAGTTAGCATTTTTGTGCTAAATAACTTGACACTCAAATAAAGTGCATCTTGTTTTTTTTATTTTCGTTTTTTGATGGAGTGCTAATGAACTTGATCTAAGCTTTTGCGTAAATATGTTATTGTTTTCTAAACAGTTATGGTACTGATTATTAGTTCCCCGAGAGATGAATTCACGATTTCGTAGCAAAATCAGTGACAGACGCTACTGCTGGTTTTCGGCAGTGTTGGTGCCCATTTGGATGCGCACCAACATGGCATCTCCATACAAATCTCTGTAAATTTAGGTAAATCATTTCTCCGTATATCTCGCAAATGAAAAATTGCACTGACCTGAATCTTGTTGAGGTTCCTTGCATACTTAATTCCTTTCATTTCCCAGATTCTAGACTTGTTAATTCCGCTGCCCACGAATAAAAGCAATTTTAGATGCGCTAAAGTTATTGTGTTACGTGACCCTATTTTATAACTGCTTTCCTCAAAAATCGCGACAATTAAACTGCCAAAAAAACGAATAAAGTTTAGATAAACTAGAGATATATCCACCTAAGGTATCAGTGATAGGTCATCTTTGATCGTTACTGTGGTAAACATGCGTTTACCGTAGTAAACTTTCTGTAGTGTGACATCAACCATTGAGATTGAAATTCTAGTTTTTCGTGTTTGTTTTGGCGACAGAACGCCAGTTCGACCAGAGAATAAGCAGATAAACGTTTCCGACTCTTCTTTCCTCTGTCATTTAAAAATTGTCAAGGCAAGCCAACAAAATGCTACGTATACCTGTTTTATTTTAAACGCTCGCTGAGGTCCTTGCATAAGATTTCGCATAAAATCTTGCTTTTGCCTTTGTCTTTGCAATGAAGGAAAAACGTCTGGGCCGTTTGTCCAACTGGTTACTTTCTACAAGGTCTTTGGCGGAATGATGGGGTTGGCTGGATTTACCAAATTGAATTGGCCAAGTGCTGTAAACCGAACACATTGCCTGACAAGTATGGACACTGCTACAACGAGAATATCTGGGGGTCATTTGATCACTATGGACTCAGTGAGTGTAAGAGAGGCGGCTACTATGCGGCTGGACTCTACAAGTCAAACTGCGACACACTGGGTTGTATTGAGATGTTAAAGTGCTGCAGCATGTTCATTGGTGAGTCATACTGAAAATCCGTAAAACATTTTATCATAAGTATTGATGAAATCTGATGGAATACTTTAAAACTGAGTGTGCTGACATTCACTGAAATCACTCGGTGACCAACAAAATTATGCAATAATAATGATAATAATAATAATGATAATAATAGTAATAATAATAATAATAACACCAACAACAACAATAATTATTATTATAAAAGTAAACTATAATTATCATAAAAAATGATGCCAGAATCCTGCGAGGCAATTTTTTTAAAAAGCTTTATAACTTTGACAATTTTATACGTAGAAGAATGTCAGACCACAACAAGATAACATCTGCCATAAAATGTCTTCCCATGTCACATCTAGGGTGATGACGTCATCAGTCAGGTGTCTTTTTCAGAATTAGGTGTTTTTGTTCCTGTGACAAGATTTCATTATTGGGTTGAAAACAAATAGCATATTTGAGGTTTTGGTTCTGTGGAGCATCTAAAATAACCAGTTTACGTCCAGCATTTAAAATTTATTGGGGTAATGAACATGAGCGAAAAAGTTGGAAGACTAGACCGAGGGCTGTAGAGGGTCGACGTTTCATCACACGGCACAGAAAATTTGCAGGAAAGTGATGTTCCACCTGACTGACTGAGTGGTCGTTTCGACTAGACCATTGACTACCTGGTCTCTGGCTGCCCCGAACTGGCTAAAACTAAATACATCCACCGCCACAACAAGGCAGCTGCACACAAGTACTGGAGGATCTGCAAAGAGTTTGGCATTGAGGAGAAGAAACGATGGTATGAGCATGAACGAGAATGACAGCGTCACTATTTTTGTGGGACATCTCCATCCACACTGACAGGACCATACCAGTTAATACGCCGGACATTGTGCTAAAGAACAAGAAGGATAAAACCTGCCTTCTCATTGACATGACTACACCCCTCGACACCAACACCTTAGTCAAAACCACGGAAAAGCTTACCAAATACAAAGACTTGGAAATCGAGGTTGAGCGAATGTTAGGGCTCAAAACAAAACAGTCTCGGTTGTTATGGGAGCTCTTGGCACCATCAAGAAGGACATGGAAAGCTACTCCAACAAAATCCCTGGCAACATCAACATACATGAACTCCAGAAAATAACTCTCCTTTCTACAGCCCACCCTCTCAGGCGGGTACTTTCCATCAAGTAGAAACCCTCTTTGGCTCCCAAAGTCCATGGTTTTGGACTCGGATATTGAGAGAGAAAATCAGTCGCAATTACTCTAGTATATCTTATATAACAATGATAACAATAATATGCACCCGAATGCGTCGTTTAACTTTTATGTGCAAGTTCATGCGTCAGATGTGATCAGAGGAGTCTGTAGATGGCAGCTGATCGAGTTCATCTTTAGCGTAAATCAATTTTGTTAGTCTCTACAGATGTTTGCCGCACCAACCCCTGCAAAAACGGTGGAACTTGTACCGCTGTCCCGACTGGAGCGGGCTACATCTGCAAATGCAGACTTGGATACACGGGGAACAAGTGTGAACTTGGTAATGCATCATTTAACACTATTTTACTTGTACATTACCTTTCACGATCGTTATGGCTGCACGCATGGTTGCTTGTTTGTACGCACATAAAGCCGTGCGTAATATCCGGTTTCCGTTATATTAGGTGGGTTATAAGCCTTCAACTTACTCCCAAACCTGTATGACCAGTATGTGTTTCGTTTTCCCTTGCAACTTTTTTTTGTCTTCAGTAGTGGAGAGTGCTTATCTACTCGCGTTTAGAATTGAAGTTTTCTTTCTCATTGAAAGGCTTCCTTAAAAAGCTACGAGCGTCAACTATCCAAAGCAAGCTCGTTAAAATGTGCCAGTCACTCGCCCTGCATTCCCCCTTTTTTTCGGCTCCTCAACGAGCATGCATCTTGTTGAAACTTGGCCAGGCAATGTTTATTTATTCAGAGTTCCCTGAGGTATCCCGGGTTACGCAGAACATATACCGTAAAATTCCGAAAGTAAGCCCTGGGGCGTATATTTTTGAGGGGCTTATATTCGGAGGGGCTTATCTACGGATGGAAATTTGCGTTTCGAAATCGATCGGGCAAGCCTTTTAGTTGGAAGTAAGTTTACCGTTTTTGCTTTGCTTTACTTTGTATTTGAGGGTAATTTCCAAGTACAAGCTCCCCTAGGGGCTTATATTTGGAGGGGCGATTTAATGGAGGGTTTTTGCGTTACGAGTTTAGGGGGCTTATAATATTTGGAGGGGCTTATACACGGAGGGGCTTATTTTCGGAATTTTGCGGTATGTACACTAACAGGAGTAGTTCCCGTTGCTAAGAAGGCTAGGTATGGCCACGAAGTGGGGTTAGAGATGAGACGAACGCCTAGCCTCTAGAAAAGACTGGTGCGTGGCCAGCACTCTACAGCCTACCTTCTCAGGCGGGTCCTTTCCATCAAGTAGAAACCCTCCGTGCCTCCCAAAGTCCATGGTTTTGGACTCGGATATTGAGAGAGAAAATCAATCGCCATTACACTAGTATATCTTATATAATAATAATAACAATAATATGCACCCCGAATGCGTCGTTCAATTTTTATGTGCAAGTTCATGCATCAGATGGGATCAAAAGGGATCTGTAGATGGCAGCTGATCGAGTTCATCATTAGCTTAAATCAATTTTGTTTTAATTATTCTCTACAGATATTTGCCGCCTCAACCCCTGCAAAAACTTTGGCATTTGTACCGCTGTCCCGACTGTAGCGGGCTACGTCTGCGAATGCAGATTTGGATACAGGGGGCCCAACTGTGAATTTGGTAATGCCTCATTTAACACTATTTTACTTACATTGCCTTTCACGATGGTTATGGCTGCACGTATGGTTGTTTGTTTGTACGCGCATAAAGCCGCAATATCCGGTTTCCGTTATAGGTGGGTGGGTTATAAGCCTTCAACTTACCCCTAAACCTGAATGACCAGTATGTGTTTCGTTTTTTCTTGCAGCCCTTTTTTTTTGTTTTCAGTACTGGCGAGTGCTTATCTACTCGCGTTTAGAATTGAAGTTTTCTTTCTCATTGAAAGGCTCCCTTGAAAAGGCTACGAGGCCTCAACTATCCAAAGCAAGCTTGTTAAAATGCGCCAGTCACTCGCGCTGCATTCCCCCCTTTTTTCGACTCCTCAACGAGCATGCATCTTGTTGAAACTTGGCCGGACAATGTTTGTTTGTTCAGATTTCCTTGAGGTATCTCGGGTTACGCAGAACATATATGTACACTAACAGGAGTAGTTCCCGTTGCTAAGAAGACTAGGTATGGCAGGGGCACCCAACGAGAATATGGTTCAAAACCACGAAAACATAGCATTGTTAAACGTATTTTGGTATTTAAACGGTAGATATAGGCATATTTTCATCCCCTAAAAATTTTTCATCTGTTCGGATTTCCTAGCTGAAAGTCTAATAATCCGAAAATTATAGGGATCAAAACTTACCTTTTCGAAAATTTCAGCCAGAAAAAAGGCTCCCGAAAATTCTAGGTGACCTTTTTAAGGTAAAAATCCGTTAAAAATAGGCAATTATACCATATTTTAGATGTTCGAAAATCCTAGGAGAAGCAGGCAAGCAAGAAATTTTACAGCAAATGTTCCGAAAATTCTAGATCTCAAATCGTCTTCCGAACAGATATTTTTCCGAAAATTGTCGTTGGGTGCCCCTGGTATGGCCACGAACTGGGGTTAGAGATGAGACGAACGCCTAGCCTCTAGAAAATACTTGTGCGTCACCAGCACTCGAACGGCATGAAAAGTCAGTAGGAGGCATGGGGGCTTCGAAACTCTACGGTACGGCCAGTCTCTTACGAAGCAAGCAATCCTATCACCCCGGCAGTGGTAGCCGTGGACATCTGTTTCGCTCTCATGATGAGTCCTAGGCGAAACAGCCGTCCATGTCTGCTATTTCCTGCAAGAGATGGTTGTGCGCATTCTTGAGGTACTTACCATACCACTGAGCTTCCTACTGAACACTGATACCCATAAACAACAAACTTAGTGATTATGTAAAGCTCGGAGTCTCCTATCTGAATATTTGAGTCGGTTAGCATTAGGACCTAAACCCCTTTGGACACGTTACGAAGTTTGCACAACGTAGGATTCCTTATTTGTTTCGAGCACTGAATATAGTGATTAGCGATAAGCAACGATATTGATTAGGGTTAAGCACTGAAAATAGTGATTAGGGTTAAGCACTGACCATGGTGATTGGGGTTAAGCCCTGAAAATAGTGATTAGGGTTACGCACTGACTCCAAACGGTTAGCTTCTTGGGTTGTTGCTATATCGCTTCAAATCAAACCAATGCTCGCCAGGAAATCCTCAGTGGCGTAGTGGTACAGATGATGGACTGCACTCACTACGCTTACTTTCGCTCCTCTAGTTTAGAAATTGAAGAGACTCACACTTTCATGTAATATATCAAACATGAGATGCAGTGTTTCATCACCAGATACGACGCGCAGCGGAGTATTTTTGACGAACTTCGAGGTGTTTCATCTGGTGATGAAACACTGTGTCGAATGTTTGATATTTCTTCTCAAACAAAATCATTTTTGAAGGAGAAATTAAGGATGCAAATACTAAGCAGTGTTTCATCCGATTTCCAAACACTCATTAAACATTAATTTCCTTTGTATTTTCTTAATGAATTATTAATGAGTTTGAGAAGAACATTTCCCAAGCAGAGATGCCAAGAAACTTAGAAATTTCATCTAAGTGTAGCGTAAAAGCAATAAAGAATACTACGTTGTGTAAACTGCAAAAGGTGTCCAAGGCATTTATGCCTATGGGATCTAATGCTGACGAGTCTTATTGAATTATCCCATAATACACGGACTCGTACCCAGTCCCCCTCGTATGAAATCCAGCCAAATGATAAGATCCGCTTTTCGGACAAATCGCCTAAAAATACACAGTTGAATACAGATTGTTTTTAAGTAAAAAAAGGCTCCTTCTTAAAATAAGTAGTACACTTGCATTAACGTTGTTTCTACTTTTCTAGGCAATCAGGGAAATAGGCCAGTGGCATTGCGGTAACAAGTAATAAAGGTAAGGCTCTCAATTTCTTCTGAATTTCTACTGATACTAATGTCGTAGTCGTTAAATTAGAGTCAACTCGACTGTTTTCAAAGCTTTCAACGACCTTAAACTGTTCGTAACAACTGCACAAAAAATTAAATAATTTCATGTCAGTTTCATATTATTTTGGACAGTTGTTGTCTTCTAGTCCATTAACATCCTAATATCAAAAGTTGTTACCTAAAAACTGACGTTTAATTTTCTTAAACGTGATTCTAAGTTTCTCAGACAGGATACAGCCTAAATACCTAACTACATATCTATAATTTTTTTCCGAAATTACTTATATCGTTAAAATACACGTCTTATTTTTCTTTTATTTTTAAATGCCGCTTAGTATTCAAATAGCCCACGTTCAATACAGTATTAAAATTCCAACATGACTCCTAGGCTTTCTGTTCATTTTTCCATATTTGGTTCGGTTTTCTTTGTGCTCAAGTCTCTTTTGGGAATTGAGAGACAATGGAGTCTTGGAAAATTTGCGATTTTGACCCTAAAGCCTCTGAGTCACGTTAGAATTCAGTTAATATATCGAACATCGGCTATCGCCGGTGGGGGAAAATCCCTACTCCTCATAAGTTTGTTCAGTGGCTTCTGGGAGATTTCCCCACCACAGTCACTCCTTCCCAGCTGTATACTAATTTCAATTTTGTTATTTACCTATTTATTACATCCTCTTTGAAATCACTTGCTATCCGTGCAATCTGATTGGCTCTCAGCAATGTGATTTATTCCCAAATCGCACCATTTTTTGCTCTAAATCGCATCTGTTCCAAATCGCGTCATTCATGTTCTAAATCGCATCATTTCTGTTTTAAATCGCACCATTTTTGTTCTATATCGCATCATTTCTGTTTCGAATACAAGCCTTTTTGTTTCGGCTTATTAACAAACCGGCTACTCGATCAATAAAATATTAGTACTGACTAAATTCTGCGATTTCAAAATGGATGTAATAAAGTGGTAATCAAACTCGCGCTACGCGCTCGTTCGATTTTGAAATCCCGCGTATGATTTCAGACCAAATTGCACTCCACTCAGTTCAATTACCATTATTTATTGTGTTTTTTATTCTATTTGTTGTATACTAAATTTTGTCTTTTAGGCTGTTGATCTCCCAGATCTTTTACGAAGTTCTACTTTCAACAGGATATATGAAGCTTTTTAGCTGGATAAAAATACACATAATAGACGGTTGCAATGTAGTGGTTAGAAGGGAATTGAAATCAATTATCAAAAATAAAATAAAGGTCAAGAACGAAAACATGATTTGCTTGGAACGTTCATTTATTTATTGATTTATTTACTTATTTTGTCTTTGAGGGGCTTGGACCCTGTTTTTTAATGGCAATTGTTTAATGCTAATGTTGTTCATCAACTGCTCAAGATACGGGGATGCTCGTCGTCTCGCTTAGGGGTGTAAATTTTGGATTTTGGTCTGCTTAGGGTGTTCCGGGCAAAGCGCCAATATTTTAAGCCGCCAATTGCAAAGAATTTTTAACTACTATTAGATAAAAATTCGATGATTATGATTTCAAATTTGTGTGTTTTTAAGCGGTCTCTTTTAGGGGTCAAAATAAGCCACGCCCAGATTGGTCTCCTTTTCACAAAAGCTTGAACCACGCCCAGATGGTCTCCTTTAGGGGTTAAATTCAAAATTTCCGACGAGCATCCCCGTCTGTTTCATGTAGAACTTTATTATTAAAGTGTGATTTAAAGTGTAATTTTTTTGCTATTGTTGTCTTTTGTGCAACAGAGTCCTACTCACATTGGCTGCCTTATGAAACAGAATACTTCTTAAAGAGATTTGCAGTAATTTGTGCAACTTCCTAATTATATAAACAGAGTTTAAAGGGATTATGTCAATCCGCGCATGCACAGTATTTAGCATTTGCCTTCAGAAACTATAGAATTATATCGGATGTAAACCAACTTAAATAACTACTTAATAACAATATAAAAAGGTTTCTTCTCGATAAATTGACTCGCGTTGTCAAGACGAAAACTAGATGCGCAACTTTCTTGACTAGAGGGTTCGCTTGTACAGGGTATTAACAGTTCAAAAAGGTTAAAGTAAGCTGATAATTTCGTAATTTACCATGATTGATTGTGCGTGATTTAGACGAACATTTTCCATAAGCGGTACTTGCACGGCTGTTTGGCTTCATTGTTAACGTGGGAATTTTGCCACTCCGCGTCGATATTTCTGGTACTCAAACACAATTTAAGCGTCACAACCAAATTACTCCCTGTCCCCAAAATACATCAGCCCCAATTTATTTCTTCATTGCTCTATCAAGTCAGTCTAAAGAGAGTCTTTACATTACAATTACTAGTGAGTTGGTCAAGAACAGTTTACTGAAAAGCATTTGGGTAACGCACAGTTCGGGCAAATATCAAACGCAATTTATGCCATATATACCCAGCTGTCTTAAATGTGTAATCATGGGATATTACGACTCTTCTTCCACATCAATTAGATAGCGGAAACAAAGCTTGTGTGATTCGTTAGCAGGGGCTTCTCCTGATAGTCAAAATAATCGTGTGCGGCAAAAATCAAACATGATCGTTAACTCGATGACTATGGAAGTCCAAAACAACTTGTTAGACGATGTTATGAATTAAAGTATACACAAAGTTTGTCCTGTGTGAAGAATTAGCGTAAGCGATCTTTGTCGTAATATGTGCGGAATAAAGGATTGCGACTTAACCAATCAGATGCGCATATTTTCAGTAAAGCGCATTGTGTACCTTGCATGATTGCTGCGATCGATTTTAGGTTTCTTTACCTTAGTCCACAAACCCAAACGTAACAGTCTTAGTCGTAACTGACTGTGCGAGGAAGTACACTTGCTGTAACGAGGTTGCTAAGGTTTTTCTGCCGAGGATTTTTGGTGTAAGGAGAGGCTAGACTACCTCAAATCAAAGGTAAATGATGTTGCTAATTATTGAATTTTATAGTTTTCTTAAACGTAGTCGTTGTCTGCTTATTAAACCTTATAAGCTCTCAGTCATTTGACGGTGAAACACTAAACATCAGTTTCCGACACTTGATCTGTTAAAGGGAGCACTAACTGTAATAACTTTTTGGTGATTTTGGCAGCCAATAGTATAAAAAAAATTAAAACGTTAACCCATTGTTTTCAAGTTTTAATCCCTGTCCATCCATGCCATCCGTAGCGGCTCCAGGCGACAGGAAACATTTTTAATGCCCAAATAATGTCTTGAGTAACAAAAAAAAAAAAAAATTTTGGAATTTAATTGATGCGAAGACAAGCTTTAGCATTTTAAAACATGTAGAAAATAGACTGAGTCGGAGCCCTGCGCTAAATAGCGCTAATGGGTGTTTTACGTTTACGCTTCGAATTATAACTCTCTTACATACTCTTATGACTCGTATTTAAACTACTCAGTCAACAGAAGCACTTGCATTAAATTTGACTAACAGATAAATAGCCAATCATTTTAGCCTACTTGTTGATCAAGCTACAGCTAATCGCAACCACTTGTTTTTTTCACTTTCTTTAGTGCCAGCATGAAACTTCAAACCTTTTCACTCAGTCTGCTATTGCTGAGCATGTTTTGGAGCCAGTGCTTCTCAGCTTCATCTTGTAAAATGGCCAATTGGTGGGGAACATTTGACCATAAAGGTTGGTCTACCTGTGACTCCTCGACCGAGTACATCAAGGGTCTGTGGAGGAACGATCCTTCAGGCGATGATGAGATCTACTTATTAGAAGAAGCAAAGTGCTGTTCAGCTCCCACGCCATACGAAAGCATGGCATCAACTTGTCAAACGGCCAATTGGTGGGGAGTATTGGATGGGTGAGTATTGGCTTTCCAGTTACTACAAATCGTAATCGAATGGAAGTCACGCTATTTAAAAGATTTTCAGTTGAAAATGGATGAATGGTAGCAATCCTTTTACATGTTAGCCCAGTCCTGTGTTTAAGGACTTCTAATATGGAATCCTGTTAAATATAAGGGACCCCTTTCTCGAAGGTGCCGACAATAAACCGGCAGGGAAAGCTGTTGCTTGTATTCGAGTGCGAGAGGTTTCCATAGCTTTGCAGAACTGGTAATATTCATGCCTGAGCGCTTCTAGGATATATAACACGTTTAGCATTTAAACCCGTAGCCGTAAAAAACAATTAGGTAGTTGTTCTATATCCTTTCTGGTTCACCCAGGTAGAAGTCCTGGCATGATATCATTATGCCTGAGCGCTTCTAGGATATATAACACGTTTAGCATTTCGACCCGTAGCCGTAAAAAGAAAAAAAGATAGGTAGTTGTTCTATATCCTTTCTGGTTCATCCAGGTAGAAGTCCTGGCATATTATTATGCCTGAGCGCTTCTGGGATATATAGTAGCAGTTTGACCCGTAGAAAAAACAAACTCAGCCGTTCATTTTGTAGGAGATATTTAAGCGTTTTTGTCTGTGTTAGCAATGTGATCGACTTTATACGCAGACCTTAATAATATGCTTTTTTCTTTGACGGCACTGAATAATTTTAGCCGAAACTTGAGCCGTACATTTGTTGAATGCCGCGCTTTAATTAAATTTCTCGCCCTAGAATGATGACATGATGGCGCGAAAATTGACGCCTCTATCGTATTAGATGGGAAATATGATCAGAGATAAATGGAATAGTGAATGTTACAAGCTTCTGAGTATCCAGCTGAGATAGGGGACTTTTAGTCCCCTATCTCAGCTTGATAAACAAAATTTTTTGGTTGCTAAGACGGTGCGGTTCGTTATGTGACAAAACGATCAGTCAACAAAACAAATGGACTGGCTTGTTAGTGAAGTCTTGCGCTTTCATTCTTAAGATTTTGATTTTAAATGTTTGACTTTGGGTTCAAAAAATTACCGAGACTTTCAAGAAACGTAACCCTGGGCCCAGTTGTTAGAAGGCCGATTAGCCCTTAACCGGGGTTAAATTTAACCCTGGTTTCTTTTTCTTGTGTTCAAAAGCATTTTCTCGGATAATTTTCTCTGTTATTTTTAGAGCTTCCAATCATCAACTTGTAGACAGAAAGAATTAAAACTGAAATGGTTTTAAAACTTTCAAATGTTTATTCAAATCTCGCACTAACCCTGGGTTAACTTAACCCAGCTTCGAACAACTCGGCCCTGGTCTTTGTTTTTGAAATGCAGGGAAAACGTCTGGGCGGTCTGTCCAACCGGCTACTTTCTTCAAGGTCTTTGGCGAAATGATGGTGATGGTTGGATTTACAAAATTGAAGAAGCCAAATGCTGTAAACCCAACACACTCCCTGACCAGTATAAAGATTGCTACAACGAGAATATATGGGGGTCATTTGATCATAAAGGACTGAGTGAGTGTAAGGCAGACGATTACTATGTGGCTGGATTCTACAAATCAGACTGCGAAAAAATATACTGTATTGAGGAGCTCAAATGTTGCAGGATGATCACAGGCGAGTTTTGTTAATAATCCGAAGAACATTGTATCATATGGTTGGATAAAACATGATGTAGTACTTTTGAGTAAGTGAGGTGACATTCAGTGATTTTTTATTCCATTTTTATTCCATTTTAATCGATAAAACTGGAAATATGTTGTGAGTTTAAAGAGCTATGTCACATCATGGGAAAAAAAGCTAAAACTTATCTTCACATCATTTGAATAACTGCAAAAGTAATGGTCCAGTTTTGTTATTTAAGACTATATTTTGGCATTAAAATGGGATTGGCATGGATTGAAATTTGAAAAACCTGGGCCAACCTTTTCACGTTTTAATGATATGCCTGCAAACATTACCAAGCAAAAATATTATGGGTAGTGCTCACTGATGAAATTGGTTTGATATTTTCATACTGAACTCTACAGGAGCATATTAATTGTGTGTGGATATAGAGGATATTACACGGTGACGCGAAGATATGAATTTTATTTTCGAGTGGCAAAACAATATTTTACTCACTCACCCCGCTCGTTCGTAAACTATTGTTTTGTCACTCGAAAACAAAATTCATACCTTCAAGCCGCCTTGTAATGTTCTTTTTATTATATAGACAAAAAGACATCGATAAAATAATAGATTCTTATTCGCCAAAAAGTAATTGTGACGGCTGAAATTTACAGTGCAGCAATATAAGACATTGTTTACAATAATCTTGAGAAATAACACTGAGCTGAATAAGGCTCTACAGTGACAAAGTATAAGCAAAGCTTTGAAAAATGCGTAAGTAAAATTCAAAAGACGCAAGATGCCGACAAATTTCGAAGGGAAATTACCGAAATTACGTCATCGATAAACCGTCACGTGTGAGATTATGGAAAATAAACCACTCGGGTCCCGGATGTAGTTTTTATGAATTTTACGAGTGGTATATTTTCCAGTAAAACACTCGTGTCTATATAATAAAAGTAATTACTTAATGTAAAATAAGATCTAAATAGAAATATCCTAATGACCTAGCCCCTTAAGTACAGTGGATTTGACAAAAAATTACCAGCGCTTTGCTACCTCTTTTGAGAACTTAAAATACAGGAGTTTCAATCTCTAAACCAAAAAGTAGAACTTTGATCATAGAGGACTCTGACCCTCAAAAAACAATAAAAAGTAAAATGAAAATAAATGTGGGTAGATTTGCCATATGAGTGGCTAGAACATCCGTACGTGCAATTTGTTTGGAAATATTGCTGAGTTCAAAAGCGATGCTGACTGTTTTACCTTCCACTTTCAAACCTGTCTTGCAACAAATCAGGTTGCTACAAGTTGCGTGAATACTGACTTCTGATTGGATAACATTACGCGGAAGTCACGCCATACACGGGAGTAAAGCACTTGCTGCAGACCCAGTTTGCCTTGGGCTGGTAAAAAGCGAAACATCATGTACAGGTTTCGTAGCACTACTCTCTTCTTTCTGCAACAAAGTTTTGACACGATAATAATAAAAGCTAACAAGCTTGTGGGGTCGGGTGTAAAAAGTAAAGAAATCTGTCAACTATAAAATAAAATAAATATAAATAATAAGATAAGACATCTAACATCATATTTATAAAACGATCAAATATAAATAAAGTCATCATTTCGATACCGGACAACTGAAACTGAAACAACGTTGAAAGAAGTTTTTGTTTTCAATCAATTGTATACAGCTCATTCTGGTTTCTATGTGAGAATCCAGGTTCATTTAAACTAATAGTGTTCCAGAAGACTGCACCTCTATAAGCAAGGTAATCCTTCATGTATCTAGTATTAAATCCTTCTCTTTGATCATTCTCTACAGATATTTGCAAATACGCCAATCCATGCAAAAACGGTGGAACTTGTACCGCCGTCCCGTTTGGAGCGGGCTACATCTGCGAATGCCCATCTGGATATCATGGGAACACCTGTGAACTTGGTAATGTCTAGTAAACGCTTTTTACTTGAAAAGTTCCAATAGTGAGCTGCTAACAATATCCGTGATACATCACCGAGAAAAAAGGTTATGGGAATAAATGAAACGAACACTTGACGGGAAATGCTTTGATATTTTATCGTTTTCCCCCAACTAGGTCTTTAAAGGAAATGTATGAGAATCAGTCTAGAGAATTTGTATGTGGATTTTTTCAAGGTGCAGAGTGCTCTTTCTGACTATGTGGGTCTTGTGTTGAATTATCTTATAATACATGGACTCTGTCAGTTCACCCAGTTTAAAATCCAGTCATACGATAAGATTTTTAAAATCAGATTTTGTTTCCCTAAGAGACGCAAGAATGCAGGATATGCTTACACTTGTTTGCAAGTGTTTGGTCAATATGGAACATTTTTATTTACCTTCCTTGTTTCATGTTCGTTTAGTAAGAGTTATCTCAGGGGGGTTAAAAAGCTCATTGTGCCGAAGGAGGCCACTACTACTTTTGGACTAAAAACTTTTCAATACTTAGCTATTTCAAACTGGAGCTCTCTGCCCGATGAAACAAGAAGAGCTCCTGATCTGAATACTTTCGTACGAATGTATAAAGCAGTTTAAAACTGAAGTTAAAACTTTCCAATAAAATAGTTGTGTAACTATATATATATGTAACTGATGTCGATATGGCATGTATTTTAATTGCACTATTTCTACTTTCATCTCATTTAATATTTCTCTTTCGGATGCACTAGCAGTAAATAGATGCTACTCCAAAATCCAAATTGAAATAAGGATATGATTGATTGATTGATTGATCCGCGTTCCGTATAGCCTACAAGAGCAGACGCCTTTTTCGTGAAACAAGAGCCGAAATAGGCGTCAGCTCTCACAGGCTACTTTCCTTACAGAAATCGCGCAAAATTACGGAATTTTTTTTGAGAACGAAAAGCCTCTTTCTTAAGTAGCCTGAAAAAAAAAGTCGATACTTCACGACGCCACCACGAAATGACGTCACTGAGCAGTGACTGCAGAAATTCCCTCATACTGATGACGTTCACTACCCAGATCTGGGTAGTCCTTCTGCTGATTGGATGAAACAAATTTCTCTCGCGTCATGACCAATCAATACCACTACCTAGACCTGGGTAGTGACGTCATCAGTATGGAATTTCTGCAGATGTTTCCCAGACGTCATTTCGCGGGGAAACCAGTTGTAGCGTTGTCAAATGTCGTCTGTTTTTTTAGGCTACTTCTTCAGATTGGTAGTAAAACACTTAAATTAACGTCAATTCTAATTTTTTCTTTTGTTGTTGTTGTAGCATCGGGAAAATAAGCGATTGCCTTTCAATGAGAAGTAATACAGGTAAGGCTGTCAATTCTTACTGATACTAATGTCTATAAATTGGAGTTATCTCGTCTGTTTTCTTGCCTTTCAAAGACATTTAACTGTTCGTAATATCTGCATACAAATTGAATAATTTCATGTCAGTTTCATATCATTTTAGACAGTTTTTGTCTTCATGTACTCAGTAACGTCTTTATATCGAAAAAATGTTAACTTAAATCGACGTTTTACTTTGTCTTAAACATGATTCTAAAATTGACTCTCTTATGATAATGCTATATTCTGTCTTTTAGGCTGCTGATCTTCAAGACCAATTAAGAAGTTCCATCTGCGACAGGATATAGGAAGCTTTTTAGCTAGATAAAACTAAAAATGTTATATTAAGAGAAAGTTGCAGAGTAGTGAACAGGAATTGAAATCAGTTCAAAAGTAAAATCAAGGTCAAAAACAAAAACGCGTTTTGCTTGGTATGTGTGGCTTCTTCTTCTTCCTATTATTATTATTATTATTATTATTACTATTATCATCCTTATTAAACACAGCTTCTGGATGACTTGCTGGAGGCTTCCTTAAACATCAAGTCACCGCCCGTGACCTCAGGTGTCCAAGACCTTGCGAAGGGTTTCGGCTGTAACCAGTCTGCACGCTCTCCACAATGATTCTCAACGTCAAATAAAACTATAATCTCTGCTAACCACTTTTCTATAATTATCTTTCGAGACAGTTCCTAACTCGGCACCAATTATGATTGGCACCACAGTTGCTCTGCGCAATTTTTAGATTCGTTTCAACTCCTGCTTCAGGTCTTGATAGTGCTCAGCTGAGTTCGTTATTTTCTCTTTCTCTTTGTCTTTCACTCGGATGTCAAATAGACAAGCAACATCAATAAGCAGGCATTTGGGTTCTACCTTATTCAATATACCACAATATCAGGCTTGTTGTGTTCAATCTTGTTGTCAGTCTGTACTGATTTTGAAGTACCACAGCAGCTTATATTATTATTATTATTATTATTATTATAATTATTATTAATACTGTTATAATTATTATTTATTAGTATTATTGTTATTTATTATTATTATTTATTTTATTTACTTTAAGTGCTTAGGCCGTGTTTTATGTAATGTTAAAAAACACTTACAGCAGTGTTTCATTACTTGTTGAAAATTCAAGCGCGAATCGGGAGCATTTTTCTTAGTTAGCGATAAAACACCTCCCGTGACGGGTTTACTAAAATCAAAAGTGACGGGTTTTTTAAAAAAAGTCTTTATAAGAGGGTGGCAATTGAAGATAATTGACTCTCACGTTATCAAATACCAAATAATAGGAGACTAGATGAATAACTATCTGACAGCCTCCCCTGCCCAAAGGAAATTAAAAATTCAAGCAAGATGATAGTTATTCACCGTGATTGTGCGTGTATTACAAGAACATTTTCCAAAACGGATATTTACCTAGCTGTTTCATTGAACCGTGGGAACTTTTTTCACCTAGCATTAAATTTTTTGTCACAACAAATCTACATAAAGAAATTACTTAATTTTTGCTCAAGTGTCTCTTTCATTACAAAACCAGGTTAACCATGCCATTATTTTAAAGTTGGAAACATGAAAAACGCAGAACGGATCAACTTCAAACGCAGCAAAGCCGACATATAGCCAGCTGTCTTTATGTTATAATTGTTAAATCATGCTATTTTACGACTCACTTAGCTCGTTACAAGGCTTAATTTCGCCGATGAAATCATCGTGCCAAAACTCGGACATATATAAGCTTGATTGACGACCGTAGCATTAAAAAACGACTATATTTTTACCATATAGCAAAAATAGGTCCGGTTAATGATACGACTAGAGCAAACTGTTTGCTTTCTGAAGAAAAAGCGTAACCGATCTTTGTCTTAATTAAGAGTAAAGGATTTCAGCTTAGCCAATCAGATACGCCTATTTTCAGTGGAGCACAAAAAATGAATGACGGTAAGCAATATTCTGTTTGCCTTGTTTAACACGATCTCAGGTACGTTGCCTTGTTGTCTCCTGACAAGAGCAGTAACTGAGGTCTTCCGACCGCGGAAAAATATCTCCTGTTTTAGACCTGCTTTGATCTCTCCCACCCAGAATTTATCACAGAAAAACATAACCTCAAAAAGAAATCACAGGAAGATTACCGCAAGATAAAGGTAATTATGGAATTACTAACAAATTTCTCAGCTTGTATTGGGTGTCGACTAGTATACTCAGGAAAAATTACAAAAAAACGTTACTCGAGCAAGATGTATTTTAAAAGATGTACAAATGGAGAATGGGATTTGCTTTCGGCGTTGCAAGGCATTTCAACATCGCAAACCATCGCTGGTTTGCATTGGGCAGCGAACATCACTCGCAAAGTGAAAGTGCAGGAAAGAACCTTTACAACTGACCACAACCACAGTTTTTTTTTTCCTTTCTACTTTTTAGCATGGGATTGCAGTCATTTCTGTTCAAACTGTTATCTCTGAAAATGTGTTAATTAAAGAGGATACGGTGGAACAACAGTTTCATCAGCAATTAAAAGATTAAATTTTATTATATAAACACCAATGAAATACCAGGTGAGCTTTTGCGCGAAAACTTGGTATCTTCACATGTGAAAATAACATGTTTTCTTCACATGTGAAAATATCACCGTTGCAATGGCTACATAATAAATCGCGCATTTCACACCAAAAGATTGTTAAAGTGAAATGGTTTGGTAGTTCATTGGTGTTTATATAAAAAATAGAATATTACATGGCCGCTTGGAGATACGAAATTTCTCTTCTCGTGTTGAAAAAATATTTCACGAGTGAGCGCAGCGAACGAGTGAAATATTTTTCAACACTCGAAGCGAAATTTCCGCGCGGCCATGTAATATCCTCTATATAATAAGCTGAAGGTTGAGTCGATGTTTGAAGTCTACTTGTTGCTCAAGTTACAACTAACCACAACCACTTGCTATATTTCATTTTTACTTTCTTCTTGTCAGCATGAAACTTCAATCCTTTTTGGTCAGCCTGCTAGTGCTGAGTATGTTTTACAGCCAGTGCCTCTCGGCTTCAAGTTGTAAGATGGCCAATTGGTGGGGAACATTTGACCATCAAGGTTGGTCTACCTGTGACTCTTCGACCGAATACATCAAGGGCCTGTGGAGGAACCATAATTATGGTGATCATGAGATCTCCCTACTAGAAGAAGCAAAGTGTTGTTCAGCTCCCACCCCAGAAGAGAACACGCCATCAATTTGTCAAGACACCGACTGGAGTAGCGTCCTCGATGGGTGAGTATTTAAGAGTTAAAGAAGCTTTATAGGGCTTCCTTTGACCACACAAACCCCAAGTCAACGTTTGTGTACGTCCTCACAACGTTAGCTTACTTATCACGTCATTTGAAATGCAGCTAGAAAACTTTTAAAAACTTCATCGTCGAAAGAGAAATGTAGTTACCTAAGGTTAAGCCGGACTCAAATTTGCGATTATCAAGTTATAACCTGCTCTGAGCTTTAGAGGGAACTACCAAAACAGCAGAGCGAACGCAGCCAAGTCCCCACTTGGGCCTCCCGGTGGCCATGCTTTTACCCTGCACCTTTGATATCATTTTAACGGATATCGCAAACGTTTTCGAAATAATAAAGGTGAGTGGTAGCTGGTTTTGAGGAATTAGCCGGGTGATTTGAGCCAATCGGAAACGGAGAAATGTTTTCAATGAATACAAATTAAATAAGGCGGATAACCAAGTAAACTCGTCCGACTGTTCAATCCTGTGCTATGGTTTGTGCTTAGGCACGTGTTTAAGGTATTCGACAAAATACTGCGCTTGAATTTTGTCTTTGTATTACAGAACCCACGTGTGGGCCGTCTGTCCAGATGGTTATTTTCTTCAAGGTCTTTGGCGAGACGAGGGTAAAGGCTTGGTGTCTCAAATTGATAAGGCTAGGTGCTGTAAACTGAACACAATTATTGACGAGTATGATAACTGCTACAACGAGAATATCTGGGGGTCATTTGATCACTATGGACTCAGTGAGTGTAAGAAAGACGGTTACTATGTGGCCGGAATCTACAAATCAAACTGCGACAAAATATACTGTATTGAGGAGCTCAAATGTTGTAGTATGTTAGTTGGTAAGTATAAATGATCCGAAAACATTTTATTTAAATTTTGTACAGTTTGTAGCAAAAGAACTTTTCTTTAATTTTTGTATAGTTTGAGCTTGAAATTAGAAATTTCATAAACCTATTTTAGTGACGCTATCTATTGTGGCGTCATATTTTAATGTCACATTTATTTGTAAGCAATCGCAACCTCCCTCCCAGGCTGTAAAGGGAAGAAAAGAAGAAGAAGCCAGGGAACGAGGTTGAAACATTCGAAAATAAGATAAGAAGAAATAAGTAAATTCTAAATAGATAAACATAAGATTATCCTAAATGACTACTTCGAGGAAATTTTAAGGGTGTTGTCCCCACCGTGAATTGTCACCAGCATGCAACTTCACCGGCCCATGCACTTACCTTTGCATGATAAAGAAACACATAAAATAGTCATAAAATGATCAATACCGCCAATAATATCATTATATTTAGTTTGTTTTGAATGAATGAATAATAATAATAATAATAATAATGATAATAATAATAATAATAATAATAATAATAGTAATAAGAAGATTATCGTCGATTGAATACCCTCTTCCAAAAAACAAGTTATTTTCAGAATACTGCTTCTTAATGTTTCAATAACTATTTCAATTTAATGAAAATGATTTACCGTATTGATAATGGTGATGTAATAACTCTGTACGAGTTATTTCATTAATGCTGCTTTCTTTCTTTTAGGTTGTTGATCTTTCATCCGTCCTTATACGCTTCAACAGGTTAAAAACTGCAGAGGCCTAAACAGAGGAACCTTTATTAATTTAAGTTTAGATACACTAAAAGTGCACGTATGAAAAGGTGGCAAAAGTTGTTGTGTTAAAGAAATGAACTTAAAAATAAAGTGAATGTCAAGAAAGAAAATATGTTTTGCTTTAAGTGTTTTTTGAACTTGGGTTTTGCCAGTCTATTCACACTTCTTATTACGATTATCGACCCCATTTGCAACCTTTTAACTACAACTTGCTGCATGACGAAGAAGGAATGCATGTTTACATTCTCTTCAGTATACCAATGAAAGTGAATTTTTTTGGAGTAAACGTGGGAAAATAGCGAAAACGACAACAAAAGGAGCCAGAGAAGACCTCCACGTACTGTCATCACGGGTTGATGGGCCAATTGAGGTTTCCGGGAAACTGCCCACCTACCCTTACCCTAAGTCGACATTATCAGTTACTTCTAACTTAGGGAAAAATGTTGGCTTAGGGGAGGGGTAGGTGGGCAGTTTCCCAAAACCTAAATTGATCTGGGTTTTTTTTATAGGATTTCAACTGCTTACTGAAGTTAGCTGTTACCCGGGGGCGGGGGGGAGGGGTACTCGACCGATATTTGGGTATAGGTGAGCCGCTGAGGGTTTGAAACCCTGACCCCGCTTAGGACAAAAAATTCCTAAAATACATACCCTGTTTAGGACAACACCCTCAATTTTATTACCTTGTTTAGGACAAAGGACAAAATACACGCCGTGTGGTTTTAAAGTCATTTATTGGCAATTGCAATTGAGAAAATCATGTTACAGTCATTACTTATTGTAGGTACAAAAACACTTCATCAAGCATGAAGCTCCAAGTTTCTTGGTCTTGCAAAATGCCCTCATGATATCTTAAACACTCTGTTTATAAGTAGAATAGACTCGCATAAATCGTGCACACGGACACTGTTTAGGACAGACTCGTGAGAAATCATACACCCTGTTTAGGACAGAGAGGACGAAAACCATACCCTGTTCAGCGGCACATCCCCGTATAGGCCATATAAGGGAGTAACCCCCCCCACCGGGTGGGGCTCCAAAGGTGAGGGAACGAGGAAGTCAGAGACGAACGTCGCGCTGACTACCAACCAAAAGGCGAAGACTGAGTGGTCACTTATGAGAATTAAACCGCAGGAGTCTCTTCCAAGAAGAGATTCTCTCTTGATCTCGACAAATCTACTTTTTGGTGAAGAATTATTTTATTACCTGCAACTTCTAAGGCAAGTTTATTATAAAAAAAATCAACGTTTTTAACGTTTATTTATGTTAGTTCAGATAAAAGATTTTTCTCTGCTTCCTCGCCGACTAGCTACTGTAGTTCCACGGTTCCACAATGCCGCGGTCTAAGTTGCACGACAAGTAATTCCTCATTCATCTTACGATAGCCATAACTACAAGCAGGCAGGCAACTGAATAAACGAAACAATATGAAACAAGCATTAAACAGCAATAAAGGCCATACACTAAACCCTGATCACATTTGGAAACGTTTCCTATCAATACTGGTAAGAGCGTTTATAATAAATCACCCATTTCCCCCCTCTGGTTGTTTGCTATTGTATCAGAAGATGAGAGATATTAACTTGTTTTCGAAAAAGTAGGGGCTAAAGGTGTTGATTCCGGATAAAACTAAATGTTATTTATCATTCCCCTTTAAGAGGGATTATGATTAAGATTCTTGATAACACTAACTAGGGGTCTAAATATACTGGTATCTGTAAAACAGGATCTACCGCGGGCATCACGTAGAACATTCACAAGCAGGTGTCAGCTGATCGCTGAAAGGATGCTCTTCACTTAATTCATCTGCAAACAACAATTTCTTGGGGCAAGCCATTCCAGAGAAGGTTGTTTATTAAAAATAAATACATGTAAGATATAAAAGAACTATATACGAACTGATATAGTTAAGAGAGGATATTACACGGTGGCGAGAAGATATGAATTTTATGTTCGAGTGGCAAGAACAATGTCTCACGAGTGAGCGAAGCGAACGAGTGAGATATTGTTCTTGCCACGAGAACATAAAATTCATATCTTCGACCCAAAGTGTAATGTTCTTTTTATTATATGGAGAAACCAGTTCAACAAAAGCAAAAGGCGGGAATCGTGACGTCATTGAACGATACGACACTCACAAAGGTGACATACGGAAAATACGCCACTTGGGTCCCGGATGAAGTGGCATATGGAATCTACGAGTGGTTTAGTTCCCAGTAAAACACTCTCCTCCATATAATAATGTATGATATTTACCTCTCGATTCCAGACGTGCAGTAAAATTTGAAAAAAACCGGTGACACCCGATCATATATATATATATAAATATACACCCCACCACCATGGAAGCTTGTAGGATCATGCTAAAATCTCATTGGCTAGACAGACACTGATGAAGGCTATGAGTTTTACACCTTTCGCACCTCGTGCCAACCACGTGACTTCTTACTTGGCCTAATGCGGAACCGTTACGTTTAAAGAAAATATATTTCCTCTAGAAAAAACGACGATTTCAAAGGCCCTGATGAAATGATTTAACCAACTAATTACACACACAAATAACTTTAGTTTAAAACAATAAGCAGCCGCCTTCAGTGACCTCGCACAGTTTTATTTTTCACTGATAACCAAACGACTATCGCAAAGCCAGTTATACCAAAGATAATCGCGATTTCTATCAACCAACGTGTGTGGTGGTCACGATGACTGGGCGCACGTTTTCTGATCTTTACTCTGAGAAGGCTTTTTGAACGCCGTTGCCGGCGAAACTAACACAATGCTCTGCATTTTTAGATGACGCTATATAATTAGTGTCAATACCAAGGGAATTGCTAACAATGGTTAGGTTTTAGAGTCATTTCAATGCAAAATTTTAATCAACAGTTTAAAACTATCATCAACTTCGCGTCATTGAAAGAATATTGAAATTGAGCGTCCTTAAAGGTTTACAAATGATAACTTAATTTGATTTTTTCTCTGCATTCCTTCAGTTCTGTGGTATAATTTACTGCTTGTCAATCATTCATTGTCGGTGGCAAGTAACCCGCTGGTCAAATCGAAGTCTATACTTTGTTAGTAGAACAGCAAATTGACAAATGGCCGACCATTCTACGAAAAAGACGATCGACACTCAGTCAAGTACCCATATATTACAGAAGAAATATGTTCCGGAAATTTTAAGGTAAGCTACTTTGATGTTTTTGAGAAGACGTATACTAAAAGGCTTATGATAAGCTCATTGTTTTTTAAACACTACGTTTGATTTAATAAGTAGTTTGAAGTACACTCGTTTCCTGGGTGCTTTATAACGAAGCCAGCGTTCCACCTTCAATGAAAGATAATCGTTAACTATCGGCACCCCATAATTTCAAGCTTTTCTTAATGCAAAGTGGATTAAAAGGTAATGCCTTCGGACGCAATAAAGCATTGCATTACTAAAAGAATTGAACTCGAATATTTGTTTGTTAGTCTGTTTACTATGAAATATAAAAGTTTTGTCTCGTTAACGTGCTTTAGTCATAAGAGATTGTTTCCGTTAGCCATCCGACACTTAACACTCTACTAGCCTGATTTACCTTATTAGCACGTTATAGGCCCGAAAATTTTTAATGTAAATTACTTCTCTCTTCGATGTATTGTGTACAATTCTATCATTTCTGTACATTCTTCAAGTACGATAATGTCGGCACTTAGCTGCCCTTTCCAGTGTTGCGAGCACACACTGATAATACGATATTACACGACCTAGCAGTCAGTTAATAATATCAGACTTTCCGATTCATTATCATCCAAATACGGTGGAGTAAATATATTTATCCGCGTACATTTTTTTGCTAACCACTACAATTGCGTTCAGAATAAATTTAAAATGAACACTGTTTTGCGGTTTGTGGCTGAACCCGACTACTGTTGTGGGGTAGACTAAAAGCTACTATGCTGAATTCATTTTGGTTTTATAAGGCAAATGTCACCCGCTAGCTCAAATGTATCACTTTCCGGTGTTCTTTTCACAACTCGCGTGCTGCTCAAGGCCGGAATGACTTTCATTGGCAACCAAAGGTGTTTATTGCTCATTCTGGTTATTTAGCTCTATAAGGGGTGCTCTATCTAGTGTAAACAACATCGGACGGTGTGTAACAATTGATATCAAAGCAAATCTGAAAATTTCTGACGATAGTAAATTATGGCTTTGACAGATTGATTGCATCCTCATTTACTAGCATCAGATATTCGTTGAAATATCAGAGAGCAATTAACGAGGTAAAAATAAATTTGATAATGTCACAGCATGTGCCAGATTTTATCTTATTTAATGTTTCGCGCAAAAGCAATAATAGTTATAGCGCCTTCTCTTCCCTTAAGAATAATTTCCATATTGCCACGTTATTGATTTTATGCCTTCGAAGTTATGCACTATACCTCCTTGCATTGGTGAATAAAAAGCTGTGTAATACCGGCTATGTAATACCGGTATAAACCATTTGCTCAAAAATACCGCGTGGAATGCTAACAACTGATAGGACTACAATAGGACTGTTACAAGGGGATTTAAAAGAGGATATATAACAATTAATGTCGGCCCAACCGTGAAATATTAGTCCATGTTGACCGAAAGCAAAATTTTCAATGAAGAGCACTTTTTCTTTTCTGCACAAACTCAGAAGGGGACTCCTTGAGAGGGATGTTGCCTAAGAGTTATTATTTGCATTTTGCATCAGGAAATACTTAATAAAGCTTATCGACACCTTCGCTAATAGTGTTAATGAGATGATTCTTTTAAGTTTAAAGAGCAGGTTTTCCATTATGAAAAGAAAGAAACGATCCACTTAAAAATGAATTTAAGACCAGCTGCCTCCAATACCTTCGTGACACTATTACACAGCTGTGTCGAAAGTTATCTAAACATTCTATTCAGCTTGTTTCACGCGCATCGATAGCCTTTGTTCTCTTTTGCCTTAAGAGATGACAAACTAGATTAGGACAATAGCAAACGGAACAATGCTGTCGAAAAGTAATGTGACCGTCCTATGCGGCTTCTTGTTATCAAAAACCCAC